GACCCCAAGGCCTGAGGGATGGCGCCTCCCCTAGGGCCGGACAACCCTCCTGCCCAGAAAGCCGCCCCCCTCCCCAGGCAGTGGGTGCCCCAGGGACAGCAGGTGCCACAGCAGCGGTGCTCACGCCGGGTCCAAGTTCATGCAGCATCCAAGCTCACACCCGGGATTCAGAGTTCACAAGGGGTCCGAGCTCATGTGAGGTTCCGATTCACGCGGGGGTCCCGAGCCCATGTGGGGTTCTGGAAGCTCACGTGGGGGTCCTGAGCTCATGTGGGAGGGGTCCTGAGCTCATGGGGGGTAGTTCGAGCTCATGGGGGAGACCCGAGCTCACATGGGGTCCAAGCCCACTTGGCCCGCACACTCAGCCGCAGCAGGATGGGGAGGCGAGAGCAGCCGAGATGACGGCTGGTGCTCCTGGAGGCTTGTTTATAAATGTCCACAGGGAGGAAGGTTCTGGAAGCTCTCTGGACCTCCCTCTGCGGAGCCAATGGCTTCCACGGCTGCGGACCAGCCGCAAAGCCCGGCAGCTGAGAGTGGGGACACCCATCCCCGCCCACACCCCCATCCCCAGACTCTCGGGACCCGCTTCTCTCAAGTCGCCCATCTGGGGATTCGGGGGGGGGGGGCGGTGCAGCCCTGAAAACTCCTCCTCCGCCCGAGCCAGGGAGGCGGGAGGCCAAGGGGCGCCTGCACCAGGGTCGGGGTCGGGCTGGGCTGGGGGTCGGGAGGGAGTCCCTCCAGGCAGCAGGGCCAGTCCCCCTCACTGGGGTGGGGGGCTGCCCTCCTCAGCTGGGGAGGGGCGCCAGGAGTGGGCCGAGTCCCTGAGGGCTCCCCCCACGCCACCAGGGCTTGCAGCCTCGAAGTTCTCGTGGGGTCTGTGCTGAGGCCCCAGGGGGCGTGCTGGGGGTGCTGCTGCAGGTGCCCAGGGATGGGCCTTGGGGGGACCAGTGGCCGCAGGTGCAGAGCCAGGCAGGACGCGCCTCTGCCAGGCAGGGAAGGGGAGTCCCAGCCCTCTCCGGGCGGGCGGGGCAGAGGCGCGCAGGAAGCACCCCGAAGGGGAGCCCAGAGACCAGGAAGAGCCCCCAAGGGGAGGGGCCCAGAAACCCTGGGCCTCGCCTCCCTCCCCGCGCCTCCCCTCCTCCCACGGCCACGGCTGGCGGGACCCAGGCCTGGAGAAGCGGGGTCCGAGCTGGGGAGCCATCACGCTGGCCCCGAGTCTCCCCCACTCCAGAGGCCCCTCCCCTGGGCTCTTCCTGGCCAGGCCCGGGCGGCCTCTGGCTTCTCCCGAAGGGCTCCTCTGCCGGCCAAGCCCCTCTGGCCCGCTAGTCCGGGGATGGCCCGGACCACCCGAGCCCTTCCGCGGCCGGGCACTTGGCCTGTGAGGGGCGTGGCCGCAGGTTAGGGACCGGTGAGGCCATCAGGGAGGCACAGAAGTCATGCCCCGGGGGCCCCACCTGCGGAGCCCCAGCCGCCCCAGGGGAGCCCACTGGGGTCCTGGGAGGACACTCACACCCACACCCAGGACACCCACAGGCCACCCCCAGGACACCTTCTCCCCGGGGGCCAGGTCAGAAAGGAGGACCTGCGCCCGCCCAGAGCAGGGTCAGTTCTGACCCCACGGCCATGGCTGAGCCTCCCCGTGGCGGTCACCCCAGGCCACTGGCACCTGCGCCTCTTGGCAGAAAAGGGAGTTTCCGGACCCTCGGAGCCTCCCGGGTGGGTGCGGTCCAGGGGCCGGCGTGGAGTGGGGACAGGGCACACGGTGGGCCTGGCTGTGGCGGTTTACTGGGCCTTGGGGGCCGGGGCTGCAGGGCCTGGACACAGGCCTGGCCGGTGTGGACCCATGTGGATGCCCGGGCTCGGGGCCGGGGGCTGTGGGTTGGGATGGAGCCGCCTCACGGCAGGGTTCCAGCCAGGCCCCGAGGGCGGAATGGGCCACGCGGGCTGCTTCGTGGGGTCCCAGCGGCTGCTTCGGAACCTGCACGCCCAGGCCGGGCCTCAGGGACCCGGGCTTAGCAGCAGGCAGGGGCACCGCAGGGACCGGCCTGCAGACCAGGTGGGGCTGGAGGACGGGCAGGAAGGGGCCAGGCACCCGAGGGCCGGCAGCTCATGGGCACACAGGAGTTGGGCGCTCGGCCGGCGGCTGGCAGCAGAGGGGCGGCTGGTGTGGCACGGGGCGGTGGGGGGCCGCGGGTCAGCGCGGAGGACGGCTGGCCTGTGGCTCCTTCCCCGGCCGCCGTTTATTCGCGGCCTCCTCCTCCCGGCGCCAGTCGCTCGGGCTGCCCGCGGAAGCGCGGGGTTTCCTCGTCCCTGAGTCTGGGAAGTGACTCAGGCAGCCGCTGCTTCTGGGCCGAGGCTCCTGTGACTCAGCAGCTGTGGGGTTCCTGCCTCGCGGCCCCGTCGGACGGGGCACGGCCGTCGTGGGGGACGGGGCCACATCACGACGCCGAGGTCCTCCCGCGACGAACGCCCAGTGCTCTGTCCACACGACACCGCCTGGCTCGCCGCCCCGGGGCCTGTCGTGATCTGAGGCCTCGGAGACCCGGGCGCCAGGCTATGGCCCCCCCGGGCAGAGCGACCTCATCCCGGTGGCCACAAGTCCCGAGCGCAGGCCCCGCGCTGGAGTCTCACCCCAGGACGGTCCCTGCGCCCGCGGGGTCGGGACACCAGCGTGGGCTGCCCTTTGGCTCTGTCCGCGGGTCAAGGTCACATAAAACGGAGGCGCCTAGGCGGCCACGGCGGCCCCTCACCTGTGACCCAGGTCCCGAGAGGGACGTTCTGAACAGGCTCTCGGGTCGGACCCGGTCGGGACTCCACCGGCCGGCCCTGCTCTCCCCCTGCACCCCTCTCCTCCGGCTTCAGCTCTCCGTGGCCCCAAGCGTCACCGCGGGGGCCGTGGGGCCCTCAGCTGGCTGCCGTGTCCACCCCCCGAGCGCGGGTTTGTCTGGGTCCAGACGGCCGGTGCTCCCGCGCGCCTTGAGGACGCCCCCCGCCCCCGCCCCGCGCCCCCCGCCCCGCGGCGCCCCGCGGCGCCCCGCTCCCCGGGGAGTGGCTCCTGCCGGCGGGCGCTTTCTCTCATCCTGGCTTGTCAGTGTAGCCGCCCCGCGCCCGGATGGGATGGGTGCTCCCGGCCCGTGCATCTGTCGGTCGTTGCGTTTTTCAGGATCAAAATGCGGGGAGCTGCGCGTTATTTCTTGGAAAGGCGGGGACGCTTCCGCGTTCTTTCCGAGCTCGGCGCCGGCCCGGCCCGTGGGCCCCTTTGCTTCCTTGGTTCTGGTTCTCCGTCCTCTGCAGGCTGGCCGGTGCCTGCTGGACAGCGTGGCCCCCGCTTTCCTCCTGCCCTCCCCATCCTGTCCCCCTCCCTGCTCCCTCCTGCTCTCCTCCCCCTTCGCCCCCCCTCCCCTCCCCTCCCCTCCCCTCCTGCCCTGCCCCCCTCCCCGCCCCCGTCGTCCTCTCCCCTCCTCCTCCCCCCTGCCCCTGCCCCCCAGCTTCTCTCAGGCCACCCGGAGGGGGTTGTCTCTCCCGTTACTTTCCAGCTCCAGGATTCCCGTTGTCCGTTGGTCGCAGTTTCCCTTTATCTGCCGAGTTTCCCTGTTCACCCACTCGTGAGAATAACTTCCCTGTCATTCTTCGTGCGTATTCTCTTTGATTCTTTGTAAGTCTTCTGAAACCAGTGTTCGCCAAACCAGTATCTGGACTCTCCGGTTTCGTTGCTATGGTTTCTTTTTCCCCTTGAGCCGTGAGTTACCTTTTCCTACATCTTTTCATGTCTAGCGATTCTTGATTGTGTGTTGGGAATCAGGCCCCCGTGCCCAGAGCCCGAATCCCGTCCCCCTTGGCTGGCCGTCGGCCCTGGCCCCAGCGGCCCTCGAGTGGCGCCCGCGTGGGCGCTCACCTGCAGCCGTGCAAAGTTCCGCGTGCGTCCTAAGCTCTGCATCTCGGCGGGACCGTTTCCTCTGGGGAGGCCGGGTGGTGGGCCAGGCCCGGTGGCGCCCCCCAGCACGGCTCGCAGGAGTGTGGTGGGTGCTGGCATCTGCACTACGCAGAGCCACGGGCCTGTTGGTGGTCAGGAATGAACACATTCCCGCAAGGCTTTCAACTCGGCAGCCGCTTCTTCCAGGGACTTTCCAGAACATCATCTTCTGCATCGTATTCTTATGGTCAAGGGTGGAGGTGGAGGTGAAATGATGACCTTGGACTCTTTGTCCTGGCGGACAGAGGGCCGTGTGAGCACCTGGCCCAGGTCCACAGTCTCCAGCGAGACCCTCCCTGCTGGCTTTAGGGTCTTCAGAAGGACAGCCGCCCAAAGAGAGGAGGAGGCAGGGCTGGCAGGAGTGACTGTGCCCCCTCAGGAGACCCCAACAGATGGCACAAAGCCTGCTGCTCTGTGCTGGTCTCAGACCACACCGCCCCAAGGACCCTGAACCTGCCTCACCCGTCGCCAAGCTGGTGCAGTGGCTCAGGCACAGACTGTGCCCGCTGATCGTGTGGTCTGGCTGCCCGCCCCTCATTGCTCCCCTGGGACACAGGACTTGTTCCACGGCACCTCTAGCAGCTCTGCAGCCCCACCCTTCCACCCTGTCCTGTCTGAGCACCCTCTGTCCTTCCTGTGTGTCCCTGGGGGATCTGCCAGCTGGAGGGCCTGGGAGCCTCAGCTGGCAGACCTAACCCCCAGGGAGGGCATCACACAGCAGCGTCCAGCGCCAGGTGGTGGACTCACAGAGAAGTGACTCAGGTGGGACTTTGGGGAATGAAACAGCAGCCAGATGGAGCCTCGGGGGGTTTCCAAGAGTAACAAGGGATTGCAGAGGGGTCATTAGTCACGGAGATGATGGCCAAACAGGCCAGAGACATTTACAGCTGTGCACAAAGCGCAGGGAGGAAACAGGAAGTCCACAGGAAGCTTCCTGCTGTCAGGTCACCGCAGCTGGGTATAAAAGTCGCCCGGCAGGGAGCCGCAGACATCGCCTCCCTCCTCCACCACCACCTAGTCCACCGACATGACCTGCTCCAACTGCTCCTCCGGCTGCCCCTCGGGCTGCCCGGCCTCCGCGTGTGCGCCCCTGAGCTGCCGGCCCGTCGTGTGCCTGCGCCCCTCCTGCCAGCCGTCCGGGGGCTGCCAGCCCATGATGATCTGCCAGCCCTCCGGGGGCTGCCAGTCCTCGGGGGGCTCCCAGCCCATGATGATCTGCCAGCCCTCCGGGGGCTGCCAGTCCTCGGGGGGCTCCCTGCCCATGATGATCTGCCAGTCCTCCGGGGGCTGCCAGTCCTCCTGCCAGTCCTCCGGCCCCACCCTGGTCTGCAGACCCATCTCCTGTGGCCTCCCTGCCTGCTGCGTGCCCGTGAGCTGCAGACCCATGGTGTGCATTGCCTCCTCCTGCCAGTCCTCTGGGGGATGCCAGTCCTCCTGCCAGTCCTCCGGCCCCACCCTGGTCTGCAGGCCCGTCCCCTGCGGCACCCCTGCCTGCTGCTGACCGCACATCTCCTCCCCAGCGGCTCCCAGGGCAGACGGACCTGCTCCTGCCCCCAGATCCTACATGCGGTCAATGAAATCAGGCTCGTCGAACCCCTGAACTCTGGAGTGACAGCCTGTGAATGATCCAGCCTGTGAATGCCCCTGTCAGCCCCTCTGGCGGTCCTGGTCCAGGGTCTTCTCTGTCTCCAGGGGAGCCGGCCCACATGAGCAAATAAACTGTTCTCAGCCCAGCAGTTGGTCCTTCCATTTTGTCTCTCACATTTTGCAGGTCTCCCCTGGAAGGAGTCTGCCAGTCAGCGCTGCTCCCTGGTGCCCCAACTGAGGGGGAGAGATGTGGCCTTGGAGGCAGGGGAGGGGTCTTCCTTGTGGCTGAGGAGGGCGGATGATATCATCCCCTCCCGAAGAGGGAGCAGGAGACAGACCTCGGCCCAGACCCCATGTGGGACCCTGCAGGGTAGTTACAAGGCAGGGAGTCTCTCATGCAAACCCACTAAAAACGGAAAGCAGAGTCCATTCATCCTGGACACCAGGCACAGGAGGTCAGAAAGCTGGGCCTCCGTTGGCCCACTGGTCCACACAGACAGGCACCCCTGTTCTGAGACCCATCTGCTCAGCATGGCTATATGAGCCGCCTCTGCCCTACCGGGGACGGCAGGTGCTGCAGCACTCTCTGTGTGCCAGGCAAGCAGCGGCAGTGGGCAGTTAGGGTGAACACTGGGGCAAACTCTTACCCAAGCAGCTGGCACATCCCCCAAGAGGAATTGAAGCTTCTCATAACTACAAAATCCAAACGAAGGTGCACACCATAACACATGGACCCAAACCTCAGGGAAGGCCCAGCAGGAGAGGAGATGCTGCCCCCCAGGGGGACACTGTCACATCCCCGTCACTTGGTACATGATGTGTGACATGCAGTCAAAAATAAGAAGACACTCGGGCCTCCAGGTGGCCTATGGGTTGGGTCTCAGGCTATCATCAAGAAGGCCTGAGCTCCATCTTGGCCAGGGAGTGACCCACATGGCGCAGCAGACCTCTCCTGTCTCCCCACTGCTCCCCTCAGCAGTGGTTCTCAGTAGATCTGCTGTTCTGCTCCCCACTCTGTCTCTGGTGAGTCCTCTCACGCCCCATACCTCTGCCCTGCACCCCAGTTTTTCTATGCAAAAATAAATAAAATATTTTTTAAAGTAAGAAGACACACAAAAAGCAAGAAAAATCAATTCAGTGTCAAGAGAAAAGGCAACCAACAAAACTGGACTCAAAATGGCCAGACAGACAATGCAGACTTGGGCCAGGGCACAGGCCCTGGCAGAGAGGGAGGGACTTCCTGTGAGCTCCCCGGAATGTGAGGTCAGAGAACTGGCCAGGGCTGAGGGTGAGGACCGGAAGGAGCAGGGCGCCAGGAGGAGGGAGCACCAAGAGGCGAAAAGGAAGCATGCTCACTCGCTTTCAACCAAGGGGCGCAGGGCAATCGGGAGGAAAGTCAGAGGCACAGACACGGCTGAAGAGAGAATCTGACACATCCCAGGGCGAAGCCAGACAGCCAAGGAGCCAGGGACCCCGCCCTGAGCTTCAGGGGGTGGAGTAAGGGGGGAGGCTCGGTGGTCGCTGAGCATCAGGGCCTGAAAGCGGTGGCCTGGGAGCTGGGGCGGGTCCCTGGCATTGTCCAGCCGGGGCCCAGGTCCAGCTCCCGCTGAGACCATCCGTTCCCTCCCGGAGGCCCAGGCGCATCTGCAGGACTGACACGGAGAGCCCCCTGCAGGGCCTGGTGTGGGGCAGGTGGGGACAGGAGACGTCGGGTGTGTCCTCGGTGGTCACCCTGCCGAGCGGGGCCAGCCCTGCCCTTCCCCAGGCGGCGCAGGGTCCTGGCCTGTCATCCTGGCGGCCCCGCAGGCCGGAGTCAGGATGCAACCAGTGGCTCCGGAGGCCAGGGCCCCACATGAGCCGGCAGGATCCCAGTCATCCCTGCAGGAAGAGGCACAAAATGGGGCACAACACTGGCCAGACCTGAGCCCGGGGCTGCTATGCTCCCCCCACCCTGCCTCTGCCTGCTGCCAAGCACCCTTCCCTCGTCCGGGAGGTCTGCCCAGGCTGTGCAGCCGCACACAAGAGACCAGCTCTGCCTCGGGATTCCCATCCCACAGGCAGAGGCCCGGCCCAGCGCCCGGCTTCCACCCCTCCCTCACCCCGCCTGCCACGCGCTCCCGGCTTGCTTGAGTCTGAAGCAGCCTGTTCCCGTACCTGCTCCAGCGCTGGAGTGTCGGGTTTTAGCCTCTTCCTCGGGTCCCGTGTCCTGAAACTTTGCTCCCTAAGAGGCGCCCAGTGTACAAAGCTGGCACCACAGACGTGGGAGAGGGCGGCTTCTGCCCCCAGCACTGTCCGCAGCACTCTAGCTCCCGGGGCTCACACACCCCCAAGCTCCAGCTATAGCAGCAGCCTGTGCTGCCCTGGGCCCGAGCACTATGTGGTCGAGTGTGTGTGCACGTCTTGAGTGTCACAAACAGGCATGTGCAGGAGCACCCATGAGCACGGCGTGTGTGCAGGTTGAGTGTGCACACCTGGGTGCACGCCATGTATGTGTGATGCCAATTGCGTGCACGAGTGTGTGTGCGTGCTGCCCTATGAGCAGTGTGTGTGTGCATGAGCGTACACGTGCGTGTGTGCACAGTGAAGTATGTGTTGTGGTATGTGCATGTCTGAGCACGTGTGTGCACATGCCCAGATGACCCCTTCCATCGTTGACGTCCTCTCATCCAACGCCCCCTGCCCCCACTGAAGCAAACTGCTGGGCCAGCCCCCTGAGGACAAGTCCATGTGCGACTCCACGCTCGTCACCACCCGGATGTAAAGGAAGCCGTTGGAAGCCCCAGGTGATGGCCGGTGACTGCAATGCGGGGCCTGCCTCTCCCTGTCCACAGCAAGGCAAGGACTCAAGATCGCTGCCCAGAGGGCTGACGCCCCAAATCCCAGGGCTGGTATGGGGTACAGCCTGTGCTGACATCCGGTCCCTAAGAGCCAGCTGGGAAGATGGATGAGCCACCCGGTGGGTGTCCAGCTGGGGCACAGGGCAGCACTGTGAAGGCCACTGCCTCTCAGGGGAGCTCTGAAGACTCCTGACAAGCAGAAGGTGTGGCCTGGGCTTCCTCCCGGGGAGTGAGGGTGCGGCTCTCCAGCCCCAGGACTGACAGCCCCCGGGCCTGGCCAGGGTGGAGCCAGTACCGGCCCCAGGCAACCACTGTCCTGCTGGCCAGTCTCCAGGTGGAGCCCTGCCCTCTACAGGGCCAGCAGAGAGGTCACACAACCCAAAGCCACCAGCAGCGCTGAGGACCAAGACCAGGACTCACACAGAGGTCGGGAGAGCCAGTGCAGTTGTGGGGAGCGCAGAGAGTACGTTCCAGAAGACCACTCAGGATGGTGCCCCAGTGCATCAGCGCTCCAGAGGAACTGAGGGATGTGGCGGATGCTCAGCCCGTGTGAGAGGAGCAGGCTCCAGACTCCACCCTCTCCTCGTGTCCACGTCGGAGAGGTCCCGATAGGATAGCCAGCACCATGGCTGACACGTGTGGGCTCTGACTGGAGAGGGTGTGCCCGAGCCCCAGGACAGGCCCCCAGGCAACCCAGAGACCCCACAACCTGCTCACCACCTGCTGCCCGCAGGCAAGGAGCAACACCAGCCATAGACAGATGGGCTCACCGTGGCCATGCCGCCTGCCTGGGACCACCCAGCCTGAGGCAGCACCAGATCACCTCTCCACCCCCCTGGAACCCAACAAGGATGGACCCTGGGCAAAGGAGACACTGAGGCAGGTGCCAATCCACTTCCTCCATAGTCATGGGCTAGATAGCTGGGCACTGAAAGTGAAGAGACAAGGAGCAGAGTGACCAGTTTATTGACTACATGGGGGGCTCCCCTGGAGACAGAGAAGACCCTGGACCAGGACCGCCAGAGGGGCTGACAGGGGCATTCACAGGCTGGATCATTCACAGGCTGTCACTCCAGAGTTCAGGGGTTCGACGAGCCTGATTTCATTGACCGCATGTAGGATCTGGGGGCAGGAGCAGGTCCGTCTGCCCTGGGAGCCGCTGGGGAGGAGATGTGCGGTCAGCAGCAGGCAGGGGTGCCGCAGGGGACGGGCCTGCAGACCAGGGTGGGGCCGGAGGACTGGCAGGAGGACTGGCATCCCCCAGAGGACTGGCAGGAGGAGGCAATGCACACCATGGGTCTGCAGCTCACGGGCACGCAGCAGGCAGGGAGGCCACAGGAGATGGGTCTGCAGACCAGGGTGGGGCCGGAGGACTGGCAGGAGGACTGGCAGCCCCCGGAGGACTGGCAGATCATCATGGGCAGGGAGCCCCCCGAGGACTGGCAGCCCCCGGAGGGCTGGCAGATCATCATGGGCTGGGAGCCCCCCGAGGACTGGCAGCCCCCGGAGGGCTGGCAGATCATCATGGGCTGGCAGCCCCCGGACGGCTGGCAGGAGGGGCGCAGGCACACGACGGGCCGGCAGCTCAGGGGCGCACACGCGGAGGCCGGGCAGCCCGAGGGGCAGCCGGAGGAGCAGTTGGAGCAGGTCATGTCGGTGGACTAGGTGGTGGTGGAGGAGGGAGGCGATGTCTGCGGCTCCCTGCCGGGCGACTTTTATACCCAGCTGCGGTGACCTGACAGCAGGAAGCTTCCTGTGGACTTCCTGTTTCCTCCCTGCGCTTTGTGCACAGCTGTAAATGTCTCTGGCCTGTTTGGCCATCATCTCCGTGACTAATGACCCCTCTGCAATCCCTTGTTACTCTTGGAAACCCCCCGAGGCTCCATCTGGCTGCTGTTTCATTCCCCAAAGTCCCACCTGAGTCACTTCTCTGTGAGTCCACCACCTGGCGCTGGACGCTGCTGTGTGATGCCCTCCCTGGGGTTAGGTCTGCCAGCTGAGGCTCCCAGGCCCTCCAGCTGGCAGATCCCCCAGGGACACACAGGAAGGACAGAGGGTGCTCAGACAGGACAGGGTG